CAGTCTGACACAGAGTTATCCCATTGAAGCCATTACAGGGTTTTTTTGGTTTGTTTTTGTTTACAGTAATTACTTCTCCCTACTTTCTAAAAACTGAAAATATTTTGCAAAATCCTCTCACTGTTCTATAGATATATCCAAACTTTCTAATTCTGACTTTTTATCGCATACACTTCTGAGTGTCATCTGATAACTATTATATCTATAGGCCAGCTGTGATATACATGTATGTCTTGGTATTTCCAACTTGAACGATGAGTATTCTGGGAAAATATTTCTATAGAAAGGAAAATTTTTCATAAACTACTAGGAAAAGCCAGCCTATATAATTCTCTGCTAAAGCTCAAGATTATACTATATTTACAGAGGATATCAATTGATCTTGTGTTTTTATGTATTATACTAAAATGCCAATGCTGGACTTGCAGTATGGTTTTCGTTACCAGTAATGTATTCCTATTTGATTTTGGATTTGGGGTGTTTTGTTTAAATTGAGCTATAATTGACATATAACATTATATTACAATAGTTTCAGGTGTACAACATAATGGTTTAACATATGTATAGCAAAGTGATCACCACAGTGAGTCTGGTTAACATCCATCACCACGTAAATTGTTTTTTTTATGGTGGTGAGAACTATTAAGATCTCTCTAGCAGCTTTCTAATATGCAATACAATATTATTACTTATAGTCACCATGCTGTACATTACATCCCCAAGACTTACTTATTCTTATAACAGAAAGTTTGTACCTTTTGACAGCCTTCACCTGTTATACCCACCTACTGTGCCCGCCTCTGGCAGCCACCTTCTGTTTCCTGTATCTGTTTTTCTGTTTTGTGTAGCTTTACCAAAGAAATAGTAGTAAAAAGCATATGTAAAAGTAAACAATTAGGTATTGTTTAAACTGGAAAATAATTTGCTGAACATGGTTTTTCCCTGATCAAGTCTCTCATATAAGCATCTGACCTATATGTATATTTGAGGACTTCTTGTTTTTACAAAAAAACTAAATCTTACTCTCAAATTTAGGTTAGAAGAAGAAGAAAAGTTTTTAAATGCTGAAAGTTACTATAAGAAAGCTTTGGATTTGGATGAGACTTTTAAAGATGCAGAGGATGCTTTGCAGAAGCTTCATAAATACATGCAGGTGATTCTTTATTTCCTCTTAGAAATTTAGTGTTATTTGAAATTAATGCCAAACTTAACTTTGTTCTGCATAAACGATTCTAGATTACTTAAGGCATTACGAAAAACTTATTTCTAGATACAGCTTTCCCTAATTGGGTTTGACATTGCTTCATAGTGTCTCGTTTACATTAGTACTCAAAAGTAAAAATAGCACTATGAGAAAATTTCAATTGCCTAAATTAGATATGCGGTTTTGAGTCCTGTCCTTGTAGTAAGCTTTCCTAGTGGTTACAAAATTCAGTGATGTTTTTGTAATTGAGCTAATTCTAAAGATCTTTTTGAGAGATATTTTAAACTGTCTTTTCCTGTAATACTGATGATGATGTTTTCTCATGCATTTTTTTCTGAATTGGACCATTGCTGCTGTGTCTGTGACATCTGGTGCTGCTCATCCCCATCCTCAAACTGGAAAATGATTTCTTATGTAATCATGCATCCAACTGGGCTGTGCTATTTTTTAAATGGTTTGTATTTGAACATGGTGATTCCCCCTCAATTCACCTTAATGGAATTTCTTTATTTGAATTTTATTTATAAAATCTGTGTCCTGTTTAAATTTTTGAATTTTTAAAAATCTTTTTTTTTCCGTTTCTTGCACTCTGGGTCATGGGTACCAATGCAATGGCTTCCCCTTTTTTCATGGAATACCAACTGCAATATGGTCCTCAATACTGTTCTGGCTATTCCATGATTAATGCCAAACACCTGTATGATTAATTTTTATACATTAACAATACTTGTTTAATGCTGGATATATGGTGATTTGGGTATACCACATTTGGTTTCTGGTGGGTGGGCGGGGGGGCGGAAACTGGGTTTTATATATTCTGCTATATTTAACGTGTGGTTTTTTCCGATACCTGGGTTCTAAAAGAAATCTTTGGAATTAAGAGAAAAACAAGCTGAAAAGGAAGAAAAGCAGAAAACAAAGAAAATAGAAACAAGTGCAGAAAAGTTGCGTAAGCTCTTAAAAGAGGAGAAAAGGTAAACTATAATATTCAGTGTTTTTGACTTAAAGCTAACTACTGAGTTGAACCAAAGCTCCATATGGAGGTAAAGTAAGTAAAGATATAAAAGTATTTCAAGTCATAATTATTCTTATCAATTATGTGTACCACGAATTTTTCTGCAAAAGAGGTTAAAGAACATGGAATCTAAGGCTAGAAACCTGAAAAAAAAAACCTTAAAATTAAGATATATAATGTTATTTTAATTATCTGTGTTTCAGGGAGACATGTTTTAGAAATAGAGCAGTGGGTCTCAACTGGGGGCGGTTTTATGCCCCAGGGACATTTTCGGTTGTCACACTGGTGGAGTGCTCCTGGCATGTAGTGGTAGAGGTCAGAGGTGCTGCTAAACATCCTACAATGATGTAGGACTGCTCCACTCCCACACTGCCCCATACCCTCCCATCAACATGCCAGTCATGCTGAGGTGCAGAAACTATGCATGAGAGGCAGCCAGATATAAAACTTTAGTTCTCCCCTTTATGTGTTCAGCTTGTCTTGTTTTTAAGGTAATGTTGGAAATGTCACTGTCTTTCACAAATGGACTTGCTTACAATGACACCTGTCTACACAAGTATTTTTTTCCCAAAAGTAGTGCTTGATGGTAAAATTGGATCTTATAATAACCAAGATTATTATTGCTTATCTAAGCCACAGCTTTTATGAAATCTTTAGAGAACAAAATAGAACTAAGATCTTTATGGATAATTAAGAAACACTGATGAGTTAGTTAACTTATTTTTTTAGGCTAAAGAAGAAAAGAAGAAAATCAACTTCTTCCTCTTCAAGTGTTTCTTCTGCTGATGAATCAGTTTCTTCTTCGTCCTCTTCCTCTTCTGGTCACAAAAGGCATAAGAAACGTAAGAGGAACCGTTCGGAGTCTTCTCGAAGTTCCAGAAGGCATTCAGCTAAGTCATCCTCAGATCAGATAGATCAGAATAGGAAAGATGAGTGGTTCCCAGTTCCAGCCAATACGTCAGCATCTTTTCTTAACCAAAGAGAAGAAGTGGAAAAACTACTGGAAAAGCAGGATAGGGTACCATATCAGAAGAAACAGGTAAAAGAGAAAGATAGGTGCCCTCTCTCTTCATCTTCAGTTGAAATTCCGGATGATATTGGAGGTAGGTCTGAAGAGCCAAGAGATTTTTACAATAGTTCTAAAACTCAAGCAGGTAGTAGCAAAACCGAAAAGCCATATAAAGCGGAAAGACATTTTTCCAGTAGAAGAGATTCCTCAGATTCCTTCTCCAGGAATTCAGAGGACAAGTCAAAAATGTCTGGTTATAGAAAAGTTAAAAAAGACGCCGAGGGCAGAAAAGAGCACTATAGGAGGTGGGAGACGAGCTCCGTGAGGTATTCCACTTCCCCGGCAAGCTCCGACTATTCTTCCAAGTCAGTAGAAAGATACAAAAGAAGTACTTACTCTGGATCACGTGATTCCAGTAGACATGAGCAAAGATATCAAGTAAGTAAAAATCAAGGAGAATATGAAAGAGGGGATAATGACGAGGAGGATGTTAAAACAGAAGTTCCGGAAGATGATGGACTAAGTAGCAAAGGGCATTCAGAAAGGGAAGTTAAAAAAAAGTTACCTCAGAATTTACTCAATATATTTAATCAGATAGCTGCATTTGAGAAAGAAAAAGGAAATAAGCAAAAAAATTAAAGGGAATCAGCACCATTATACTAAAGGCTCTTAATAAAAGTTTGGGGTCTTTGAGTCATAACAGTCCAATGCAGAAATCTCTGCTCCTAAAGTTATTTTATCTGTACAGATTGCAGAAAGCAAATGCTATTTAGCTATTCTCAGTTTGTTTTAGTTGTAGGTCCCCTTTCACAGCTTGATTTTTAGGCTTTTCATATATGTATATGTTTATGTACAGTATTTCTTACTCTGATGATTTAAACTTCACTTCAAGATAATTCTTAAAGTATTGTTTCTTCATTATATTATGTTGTATGAGAATTCCTTGGATCCACCTTATCCTGCTGTTTGAAAGAAAATTAAATTTGTGCACTGAACACTTGGGTCGTTTTCCTCAAAAATTATTTCATTCCCTTCTGTTAAATTAAAAGCTCTTGGCTTTTGAAAGAGATACATTTGAATGTTAACTCAAGCACCAGTTTATATTGATCACTTGTTTAAATATTAAATTTTTTACAAAACGTTTACTTTAAAATGGTAGATTATTTGTCTTGTCTAATTGGCCTCTAAAGCCTGATTCAGTTAAAAATGGTTTGTGTACCAGCTTAAGTACCTTCAGAGTAAAGCCATGAAAATTGACTAGAGGCCCATTTTGCTCATTTCTATTTATATTATTTTTACCTTATCACTAGCAGTATAGTCCTAAGAAATTTAATATTGGCAAGAGAGACTATATTCTAGGCAAGAATACATCATAATAGAAAAGGATCCTTTTAGCAGAAACGGCAGTGGAAAGGACAGCACGTTATAAATTTGGTTTCCTCTAATGGAAAGAAAATTAGGAAACTGTCCTAGTATTGCAGATGTCCAGCTGGGAACACACTGGGCATGTTTTTAAATAGTCTAGCGCTGGCCTGCATTTCTGCTTTTGTTCCTTGACACCACCTCTTGCCTGATGCTTCCCCTGATGTCTCCTTTCTCAGGATCTGAACAACTGACCAGGCCAGCAGAGCCTGGTTTTACTCAGAATAAATTCCAGCAGCTAGAGCTGAAAAAGGAAGGGCCTTGGATTGTAAGGATCGTCCCCAGATTATTGAAAATAGTGTAGTGTATTTGGAAGACAGAGATAAAGAGTCATAGGTGGTGAGTTCATAATGGTCTTTAGGTAATCTTGTCGATTTAAGATTCTAGACTGTAAATGACAGTGGCCTTTAATTTGATCACTCATGATGACACTGGATGAAGGGTTTGGGGAATAGGTGAGGATCCATCTACAGAGGTCTAAGAGAATGATAGAGGAAGACACTTTCAGTCCTTGTTCTGTCTCACTGTTCTTGCCAACAGTAAAATATCAAAACTTTAATTATAACTGGGTGTGTACTATTTGTGACCTTTAGACTTGAGCAAGGGAGCCTTATGATTTAGCTAAAATTTGTTTTTCAATGGAGGAGAGAAAGAAACTGGTCCAAAACAAAAGGTAATAGCAGGAGAAATTGGTCTTTCCACCAAGAAACTCAGAGTCCCCAGTTCCTTCTGTGTATTAATAGCTTCGGTGTCATCCCTACATAGTCCTACATGGTGTTTTTAAGGAGTGAAAACTTGACAAAGCCCTTGCTTGACCTTTGGGAATTCCTGGTACAGCTTCAGAATTTTACACCTTTTTATTTAGTAAAATCTCTGAACGTTACTATCAGCCAGCACTGATTTTCCAAAGCATCTTTGTGGCTTACTGGTACATTTAGGTTCCCCAAAAAATCAGGATAATACCTTTTACAACAGCCTGCCTGAATTTAGAAATTCCATCTTCTTCAGGGCTTCTTTCCTGGGACATAGTAAATTTAAGCAGAGTACACAAACCAATTTCTAAGGATGCGTTCAGGAAACGTATCACAGCAAAAAAATACTAGCGATATACTTGTCAAGAATCCCCTAGTGGTGCCTTCATTTTTTTTTCCTTAAAATCATGTCTATAATTTAGACATACCCAGGCTGTGTCTTGCTTTCCTTTAGTAGATGACTTTCTAACACAACAGGTGGGTGTTAAGGTAACCCCCAATTTGGAGATAATGGGATTAATCCCTTGTCTTACCATTTAACACTGAAGTTGGAACTGTTACTTTATTGAACAGTTAAACGTAGACTGGTACACTGGCTGGAGACCCTATCCATTCCACAAATACTGTTAGGCTTTGCTGGTGACTCAATAATAGGCAGAAGTTATTGGGCAGTTCCTGTGTGTCAGGCCATGTGCAATTTGTACATATAAATCTGATTATTTCAGTGAACTTGTAGGTAACACTGTATTACAAATGAGGAAAAATGCATAGAGAAATAACTCCCAAGGTCACAGTTGGAACCAGTATGTTATATTTCAAGTTCCAAGTAATTTACAAAGTCATACAAGGCAGAAATTTTGGTAAACAAGATTAATCAGTTTTTAGAGCTTATGAATCTCATGTATTAGATGTTTCAGCCAAAAAACGTACCCAGCTTTCTTTACTCATTCATTGGACTTGGCTATGCCTTTTGCTGACTGTTTCTAAAAATAGTAATACTTTCAAATAATGATCAGGAGAAACAGGTTACCACAGTTACTACCTTTCAGATGGAACTGCAAATGACAATTCTAAACAATGACATAACATTTTTTCCCAGGGTTTGAAAGAGACAATAATCGTTTAAGTATGCACTTGGATTCTAATACATTTATTTGAAAACTAGTTTAATAACATTATACTCATACTCCACACTATTCCAAGAGTTCAAAGTGTTAGGCACATGTTATAATGAAGTATTACCTGGAATAACTAATTCCATATTTGGTCTACCTGCATTATAAATTGTTGGAATTCTTATTATAAATTAAATCACATCTAACTTCCTTTAAATTGTTAATTAAATCAAGAAAGTTTTGAAAATACATTCTTTATGCTTGGTTGTATCTTGAGAGTAAAATCTTTAATGTGTTTGATTTATTGAAGATCAGAGTTGAGTAATTCCTAAAAATTTTAAGCTGCATTTTTATTGATTTAGTGTTCTTTTTCCTATTACTTGTTTTCTTGGTGGAGGGATGAGGGTAATGCTGTTTTTTTTAGTTAAAAAGTTTACAATTACACAAAAAGAAGAAACTAACAGATTTCTCCCCCAAAAGTCTGGGAAATAAGTTTCAATAAAGAAAACCTAATTTCAGGATCTTCTAGGGTAAACGAAAATTTGAGTACTATTGTATAGTACAATGAATCTTTAGAAATTAAAGAATAAGTTTAGTTTCATAGCTAGTGTAAAATAATGAAGCAAACTATTTTCTAATATAACATCAAAATGACAGTGAAAAACATCATTTTCCTTATGCTTATGTAAGATGTAGCCTTGTTGAAATCTGCTATTACTGCTTTCCTTCTACGTGAAGAAGACAGTAGGAAAAAGGATAAGATAATTAAACATTTCTTTGGCTTATTTGGACCCAATCTGCTTGATTTTTTTTTTTAACAGTTTTTACATTTTTTCACTGGATAAAACTTGTCTGTTCATTTCATTTTGTAACACTATTTCAGTAGTACTCTATATCATTATACAGCACCCAAAAGCATAGAGTGGAATTTACTATTTTAAAACTGAAATTTTTGTTTTTGTATGTATAACTTGTTCAAGAGATTAAAATGTTTACTTGCTGCTTTTTTTGCTTTTACCATTACTGGAGCTGCTGCTAACACTAGTTGACCTCGAAGTGCTGCCAACTGGTGACGAGTCTGGGAAGGTCAGCTCTAACACTTTAATTGAAGTCTGAGAAGCTAAAGTACTTGTACTCCTAGATGACCTAGAAGAAAAAGCAGGATTATTGTAAATTTGATTCAGAATCCATATGTTAATAGAGACCCCTCGTTAATGGCAAAAGATACCAGAATCCAACAAAGGAAAGAGATCAAAAAGTACATAATATTAATAGTACTAATAAATTATAAAAGCATGACAATATCAAGAAATTAGTTTTTTAAAAACGGAAAAGGTAATGAGCATAAGCGTTTTCGAACCAGTAAAAAAAATAGTTTAACAAATGTTTCTATATGAGAAAAATGTTTTCAGCTATAATAAATTTAGAGATGGAATCATTAAGCATTAAAGATCCACAAAATTAAGCAGTAACAAAAATGAGGGGCATGGGAATTTGGGTGCTGACAAAATAATTAAAATAATAGATTATATAAGAGAAGAAAGGGATAGACCTGTTGACAGGAAAAAAATGATGGAATCATTTGAAAATCATAACGTCATACAATTCTGAAATGCTAAATTTTAAAATATGTTTTATGATTAAAAAATTCTTACCCTAGTTGGCTGACCATGTTAGATGTAACCTCCAAAATTTCACCCTGCTTTATCCTATTGAAATAGCTGGTAGCCACAAAACACTCGTTTTATAATGGAAATGGTGACAACAGACAGTTCGAAAGCAAGTTGCTCTGCTGTCTGTGCGTCTGACACTGATACAGGGCGGGTAGGAAGGCTGAGCAGAGCACCGGCAGTGTATTGGCAGATCCAACAGTTGTGGCGATGGGGAAGTGGCTGGGCTCACTTCGGGTACAGCTGTGATAGTTAAGGAGATGGCTTTTTCCACCTCCCACTTACCTTGCTGATAGTGAAGCCTGTGATCTAGAACTCTGACGACTGCCTTTAGTACCAGCGGTAGGTAGTTCTAAACCATTCTGGAAGAATATTCAGTAGCAATCATTAGTACTACTGCATTTTAGAAGGAGAATATTTTTAGATTTCACTTTATGATGAATGCCATAATTATTTTCATGACGTATTTAAGAAATATTTAACTAGAAAGTAATGTTACTACCTGTTGAAAGCATGTTTGAAGGATGATGCGGATCTCAGCATTTTCTTCTGTGATATCAAATAACATTCCATCAACGATCTTGTGGAACTGTTTCAATTCACGAAGTTTGATGTCTTGTTCTTCTAGTGTTTCATCTTTTGTGTCTTTCAAAAGACGGATTTCCTTGGTGAGTTTTGCACACTGTTGGACAACAGTAGTCAATTATTATATAACTATTTTTCAGAACAATATTTTTTAATGATGAAGGAGGATTTGGGTTTGCCATTTGGAACTTCAAAAAATGTAAATATGACAGGCCGTTTTTTTAAAATATCAATACCTGTTTAGTTACTCTCTCTAACTTTGGTTTCTGCTCTTCCGTTTCTCTGCGTAGTTGAAGTGAAAAAGCCTGCTTCTCTAGTAATTTTTCTTTGACGTTACTTGTAAAATGTTCCATAACTTCTAAAGTATTTTCCATGCTCTGCAGAAAATAAAGTATTAACATTAGAATCAAAAATCGCTTTTATAACTTGCCATTTGTCAAATATTTTAATTTATATAGTATACATTCTATTGAAAGATAAATATAATGGTTTTATGGATTAAGTTGTATGTAATTCCACTGAGAAGTATTTTTATGGTACTTGGGGGAAAAATAAACCAATAACTATTGAAAGCATGCAATTTTTCAGAGATTCACAGTTCATATCATTTGTTCCTTCAACTTGATTAGAAAAAAAAATCTAAATTTGATGTGAGCCTGAGCCTACTTACCAAGCACATTATTTTCTCTTTCAGTGATGTGCTTTAGTAACTTCTTTCTACTAGATTATTTTTATCTTTCAAATCTTTTTTTGTTCTAAGGAGAAATCTTTAAGGTGATCTTTAAGGAATTAAATGAAATAAAAGTACATTTAATAAAGGTTAGTGGATAGATCATAATTAACTAGCAATGATTCATTCACTAACAAGTGATGCTCAGGAGTCCATCCTGTACTTAGCACTGGGATTTTAACTCATTTATTTAATGCTTTGATCACTTATTTTTCTCTCATTTAAACTTGAGACTTTTATTATCTACTTCTCTAAAAAATTGTCATCTTTGTACAAGGTAACGAGAAAGTAGATATAATAATAATGATAGTTAACATCTACTGAGGGCTTATTACTGAAGCCTGTTGAATTTACCTGGATATCTTCCTGTAGCTCTCTGATTTGTCTTTGTTTGTATCTGTATTTTTCATCAGCAGCTCTTTTTTGTTCTTCTAGTTGGATTTTTTGTACATACTCATCACCTAGAATTTAGAGAATTTTTAGTTAAAATTTTTAACATACTGTGTGGAAAGAAATCTTAAAGTCTTACATTTATTTATTATTATTTTTTTTTAGCTGAGCCATCCTGCTACCTATTGGCAGCTTTGCGGCAGCTCAGCTCGGACCGGGCATCAAACCGCTGTTGCTCAGAGCTCGCACTCTTGAGCGAGCTCTTAACCAACTGAGCCACTCGGCCGGCCCAAAGTCTTACATATATTTAAACTTGTAACTTTTTTTTTCTTATGAAAGGTTAAAATCCATATGTCTACTTATTGAAAAACAGTATGGGCATATGTAGTAGCTACGTCAACACAAAACAACCAATAGTAGTGCTGTTTCCTGCAGATTTGAAAAATCCCCTAGAGAAGTGATATGCCATATCACTAGCACTTAATAATAATGGAAATAACACCTTAGCACTTATTTTAAGGGGAGGTGATAGTTTTTCTGACTCAAACATCGTACATTTTTGTTTTCCATGTCTCACAGTGTCTCTTTTTCAAAAATAAATGACTACAGCTTTCATTGCATATATTCATAAAAAATGTTAACTCCTACATACTAGATGGAGTCACTATTTTAAAAGATTGCTTATAATTGTTGTTGCAGCTGTTCAGCACTTGCAAGGTGTTTTCTAGAGCGTAGATTTCTTTTTCAGCTTTGTTGATCTTGGCATCCAAACAGTCACCTTCCCTTTGAAGTTCTTCTTTTTCTTGAGCAGCCTATGAAATACAGAATAGAACTGATTAAATTAGAGTATTTCTCATGGGGAAAAGGTCTGTTTTCAGGGCAGGAAATAGTTAACTCACAATAATACCAATTTGCCTTGAGGTCCACATGTAGCACCAAGTTTATTTCTTGCACTTGACTTAAGAGTAGAAGACCAAATCTTCAAGGCCTTCAAAATATAGCACATAGATACACCACCATGATAGAAATGTAGTAACTAACCAAAGCTTACATAAAGCTCTTTGACAAAAATTCCCAAAAAGTTAAGCAGATACAAACTTTACTGAGAAGAAAAATAGAGTTAACTACGAGGTTTCAAGATACATATTAGATAAAAATGTAAATTTCTGGCCTGAAAGAGGCTTCGGAACACTTTCTCACGTTGTATCTTAGGAGAAAAAAAGGTGAGTCAAGGTACACCCAGGAAAAGCAAATGCTTATTTCCAACTCAGTTATGTGTGTTATTAGTATTTCAACATTTTTGAGCAGTTAGTAATGTTAAAATTAGAGAGAGAGTACTCACTTCAACAGCACATACTAAAATTGGAACAATACAGAGATTAGCATGACACCTACATAAGAATGGTATGCAAATTTGTAAAGTGTTCCATATTTTCAAAAGGAAAAATAACTGCATAATTCCACTTATATGAAGTACCTAGAGTTACTGAATTCATGGAGACAAAGTAGAATGGTGGTTGCCAGGGTTTGGGGCAGGAAGAAATGGGGAGTTACTGTTTGATGGGTACAGTTTCGGTTTTAGAAGGTGAGAAAAGTTCTGGAGATGAATAGTGGTATCAGTTGCACAACAATATGAATATACTTAATACCACTGAACTGTTAAAAATTGTTAAAATGGCAAAATTTATATTTTATCCCATTTTTATTTATTTATTTTAATTAGAGAAAGATAATTGTGGAAATGTGGCTAGAAAAAATGAAGTCTACATATTGCTGCAAACCAAAATTTCCTGAGTGGACATACTCAGTGACTTTTCCATCTTACCTCTGTCACTGAACTATGCTCTCTAGAGTTGTAACCAAAAAGTTCCAAAGAACTTCTCCAATTAAGGGTTAACTGGGATACCACACATATATATTTAAAAGTACCCAAAACCCATTTTTAATCAAACTCAACTAATAATTTCATTGCTTAATTTATTCATTCCCTAGGTATGTGTATTTAAACCAGAATGTGGTCACTGGAAAAGTTTTCTTGGTGATGTTTCAACTCTTTGCTGTTTTCACTATTTGTTTTATTAATATTATGCTTCAAAAAATGTTACAGTTTTGTAGCAAACAGTACAGAATAAAAAATAAAGCTTAGCAAAAAAGTATTTAGATAAATTATACCTAATTCCTTTGAGTCTAGAATGAGCAATTATTTCATATATAGCATAACGAGATAGAATAAAACAGCTAGATTTTAGTTGCAGATTTGCTACTAGTAAGTTGAGTAACATTAAATCACTTCCCTTTTCTGAGTTCACTTTATCAAATAAAGAGGTTGAGTTTGCTCATTTATACAAATTTCAGATCAATTCTACATATAACTCAAACTTCTAAAACTTTCATCTCCTTTGCTTCTAAATCAGAGCTTAAATAATGTATACCTGTTACCCTGGATTAGAAAAAGCTGACATTTGGAAGAAATTTTTATTTATACATTTATGTCAATATTTTAAAACATTTTCTAGTAATTTCATTGGAAAGCTTCATTAAATTGTCAGAATTGAAGTGTTTCCTTACAAAGTCTAAGAGGAACCTGGAAACGAGATTTGACAGATGCCAGTTCTTCACTGATTACTGATAATATTTTTCAGACTGGCTGTTAACAGTCAAATATATAACTGTCTAACCACTATGCTGTACACCTGAAACTAATATAAAATAATATTAAATGTCAACTGTAACTGAAAAAAATAATTTTTTGAAAGATGTCAAATATTAGAAAGTACTAGGGTGCATAAAAGGAAAAACGAAACTATGTGTGTCCATAGACAAGACCAAAAACAAAGGTTATGGATTGAATTGTTTCTCCCCAAAAAAGATACCCCCAGTACCTCAGAATGTGACCTGTTTTGGAAATAGGGTCTTTTCAAATGTAGTCAAGTTACCATGAGGTCATTAGGGTGGGCTCTAATAGCATATGTTGTGTCCTTATAAAAAATGGGATATTTGGACACAGACACAGACATTCACAGGGGGAAGACTGAAGAGACACAGGAGGATCCATGGGAAAATGAAAGCAGAGATCATGGTGCTGCTTCCATTAGCCAAGGAACACCAAAGACTGCCAGCAAGCCACCAGAAGCTAGGAGAAGCATAGAACAGATTCTCCCTCACAGCCCTCAGAAGGACCCAACCCTGCTGACACTTGCATCTCGGACTTCAGCCTCCGGAACTGTCACGCAATACACTTCCATAGGTTAGACTGCCTGGCTTGTAGTGCATTGTTACGCAGCTCTAGCAAACTAATTAATACAAGGGGCCATCATATTTTGTATTTAAAGGGTGAGATAGTAAGTATTTTAGGCTTTATGGGCCATTCCGTCTCTGTCAAAACTAACTCGCACTTAATATCACTGCTATTGTAGCATGAAAGCAGCCATAGACAATACATAAATGAATGAGGTGATGTATTGTGTGTTCCAATGCTTACTGACAAGTGCTGGGCAGCACTTGGCCCAGGGGCTGTAGTTTGTGTACCCCTGAAATACAACATACAGGAAACAGAACAGTGGTTGGCACTGTGACCAAATTCCTCTTCTCCAGTGCTATAAATATGTGCTCATCAGGAAAGGTCACCTTGGGGGGAATGTAAAGGATATAAGGAAGGGAAAGAATCTTGAACTGACTAAATCTACATCCTAAATCTACCTACCCCCTTCAAAAACAAGTGACAGTTAACGTCTAATTGGCAAATTTACATTTTATTCCAGCAGTGAAACTGCTAAAATATTTTCAAAAAGTTAAAAGTTGTTCTCAAATGTAAAATGAACGTGTCAAAGATTTGATTCAAGTCAGTAATGAAGGAACCAGTAAAATGTTTAGACAAGTTCAAATAGAGAATTGGAACAGATTTAATATACAGAGTCAGAAATGCTGAAATGAATTTGCTTATAGATAGGAAACTTTAATATCTTTTAGGAAATAAAATATAATGCTTGAGTTATCTTTCCTACAGAGTATAAGTCAGCTGTATTTCTACTGGCCAAAATTCATTTGCATTATTATGGACAAGAATCGTTCTTTACTATCAAGTTTTCTACAAGTTAACATGTATCCTTACAGAGTTATAAAATAGGTTGGTCCGTAGAAAATTGGCCAAAAGTGTTCATTACTACCGAATCTGATCGTCCCTGGAGGGCCCACCAGGAAATGCCAAGTCTGGTGTCACCATGGAGTGGCATCACTGCACACGCTGATTGCTTTTGCCCATTTTCAGACATTAGACAGTTTTCACAACATAAGATACATTGAGTTTAGTTATAAAGAAATAAAGTTTCATTTTTACACATCTGGCACATGTGAGGAGTTATAAGTAAAACATGTAACTATGCTACATAGCAAAACATGGGACTGTAACGGGGAAGCTGTGGACCATGGAGAAGGTGATAAGTGAAGTGTGGCATCAGGAAATTGAGAAGGTAAGATAGCCTTGATTGATTTAACACATACTGGCATTTATTCAGCATGTTCACTGTGAACAGAAGGGATACTCTTTCTTTTCCTCATAAAATTTGCCTGTTTTCCTGAGACGTGGATGATGATGAGGATGACTATTATTTTATAACAGCAATAACGATGATAGCTAACATTTATAGAGGGCTCATTTTGTTCCAGGTACTCTCTTAAGGGCTTTACATATATTTTCTCACTTCTCACAACAAAAGTAACAGTATTATCATCCTTGCTTAGCAAGTGAGGAAACTAAGGCCCCAAGTGGTTACATAACTTATTCAAGGTCACCTGCCTACTCACTGATAGAAGCAAGATGTGGCCAAAGGCACTCTAACACCAGTGCTTTTAGGTGACTCATTACAGCCCTTGTTGGTAGAGAAACTTAACTGGAATTGCAACATCTACCTCCTTCCCAACACCTAACAGACTACAGCCCACCCCTCACCCCTTGGGAACCATCAAAACCTGAGAGCAGGAAAGTCCCATTAATATTGGGCAGAAGCCTGAGGTACTATGGACTGAGGAGTTATTAAAAAGGTTTTGAGAGCCAAGACTCATTTCTCATATAGACATGGTAGAATTTCCCGAGGCAAAGTGGCAGGCATGTCACACTTAGTGTATGTGTTAGGGGCCAACCTCAAAGAACGGCTACAGAAGGAAAGTTGGAAGGTTAAGAAGTCAAAAGGGAGGGAGCATGCACGGGCCATTCTCTACAGGTGTGGACTGCGAGATCTCGTTCCCATGCCTGTCCATGTATGATACAGGAAAAATGAGTTAAACTTACAATTTCCACTCCTTTTGGTGTTTTGAGTAACTTCCTAGACCTTTCTGTTAAGGAAATCACACCTGCTCAGGGTATTTTCTACATGGGAAAGATGAATATAATAGCGCTCAGGAAGGGAATTACATCCAATTCCTGATCACTTCTGGATTTCCCATTATGGGCTACTAGGTAAAGATGACCATGAGATGGCATGGTTATCTTTCTGAAACATCAGAAAGAACAGAGTCACCTGATCAGTTTGTCTCCCATCTAATATGAAGGCAAAGGGACAGCTCTCTTCCTCTCTGGATATCTGCCACACACGGACTGCAGTGGTAAACTGGAGTGTAAGATTTCAGAAGTGATGGAGCTGCGGGTGATGATAAGGTCTAAGGGGTGGCTATATATGAGTGAGTGGCGATAGTGAAGTAAAGCTTTGAGCCTGAGGTGTTGAACAAGTTGTCACAGGCATGCTAAAGACACCCAGAGTGACAGTAGGTCTTAGGGTAAAAGAGATTATGAATCGTGAATACATGAGGGAAAAGGACCTGACACAAAGATGGCAAAACAAATTAAAAAGTGTCAAAGAGTAGTCCAGACCTCTCCTTGTCCTCAGGACGGAGGTGTATAAACTAAGAGAGCTTCAGGGTGTCCATTAGCTCTAATTAAGTGTAACAATTACCTAGAGTGCTATGAAACTTAAAGTTTCACAGCAAAGAAACAAAAAAAACAAAAAACTTGCCATTTTGGCTGTTAACAAAGCTAACAAAGAAAAGATACTTCATCCTATGACAACTGTATATTGATTAAGATTACCTTTATCACATAATAGGTCTGTGTTTTCTCCTCTTCTCCTTCAGGAGGCATCATAACAACAGTAAGAATTTCATATCTGTTCTTCAGCTTATCAATTTTACTTAGCCGCTCATGAAGCTCAGCACTAATAAGAAAAAGAAAAACACTAAAAAACAAATAGTTTTTTTAAAGAACTACAGTGTTTGTATAGAAGACATTTGTATATTTGTAACTCCTGAACTCAAACAGATTAAATATGTTCTTACTTTTTAATTTTATAATTCAGTGTGAAGGGTCTCAGATTTCACCCTATTTGAAAGGTAACAAGTTAGCCTGACACAGTTTCATGGATGCTGACAGAAGACACAAGATTCCTGAGTCAGAGGAAAAGCACTTTATCACTTAAGGTATGAGCTTCCTATTTGCATTGGGGTCGCTTGGCTCTAGAACCATGCAGATGAGGAGGGGCTCAAATGAATGCCGTGCACACAGTAGGTTTGCATCACAACTGAGGAAGCTGAAGCTTAGGTAATAGAAATACTTTATTATAGGAAACAAGCAAGCATGCCTAACCTTTGCTCCAGGGGGAGATGCTACCTCTAGCTCCTGAGGCTGTTCACTATCCAAACATCTTTTCAAAGATAGTCTAATGTTCATCAAAACCACATTGAGATATCACCTCCACCCATAAGGATGGCTACTATCAAAAAAACAAAAATAATACTGGCAAGGATGTTGAGAAATTGGAATCCCTATGCACTGTTGGTGGGACTGTAAAATGGTACAACTGCTATGGAAAACAGTATGGCTGTTTCTCAAAAAATTAAAAATAGAACTACCATATGAGCCAGCAATTGCACTTCTGGGTATAAAGTCAAAAGATTTGAAAGCAGATTCTCAAAGAGACATCTGCACACCAATGTTCGTAGCAACATTATTTACAACACTCAGGTGGAAGCAATCCAAATGTCCATGGACAATGAATGGATAAATAAAATGTTGTATATACACAGAATGGAATATTATTCAGCCTTAAAAAGGAAATTCTGTCACATGCTAAATAAAATAAGCCAGTCACATATGGCCTGCAAAACCTAGACTATTTAATATCTGGCTCTTATAAAAAAGTGTGTGGGATATTGCCCTCAAAGTTGAAAATTAATTATTAAGCAAAGTTGCTGGATACTTAATATACAGAAATCAACTATTTCTATATACCAGCAACAAACCAGGAATTTAAATGTTTTAAAAGGAGATAACATTGAAAGTAACATTAAAAAAATAACATGTAGCCAGGAATAATTCTTATAAAAGATATGCAAAACCTTTAGGGGAAAATCACTTCAATAAATGCAGTTATTAGATAACCATAAGGGAAAACATGTTAATGAATTCTTACCACAAACCATACAAAAAAAAAATCAATTCCAAGGGAATTAAAAATCTTACTGTAAAAGGGAGAATCTAAAGAATGAGGAGTTAACCAAAGGAAAGAGAGGGAAAAACACAGGCTAAAATATGTCCCAAATATTACATTAAAAGGTTTTCAAATGAGTAAGAAAGAGATGGACATGCAGGATGATAGGGGGAGCAGTCAGTTCTTCTGACATCACCCTTATGTTTCCAAAATTCTTTAGCAGCATTTTAAAACTTTAATTATTACCTTATGTTTTGCCGTTCTTGATCAACATATCTTATTTGTGATGCAAGCATTGTTTTGTGAACCTTAATTTCTTCAGTTCGTTCTTCCATAGCTGTGTGTAACTGCTGTTTTCTTTTTTCCAGAGAAAGAACTTCTTCTGCTTTACTGTGAAGCATCTCTCGAATCCGTTTAACTTCAAGTTTTAAAAGATTGTCTTCTATCATCAAATCCTGTCAACATAACAAAATTATCAAATGTTGAAATAATTATTTTTATACTCAAACCAAAATATTTTTCTTTTTTATTGTGACAAAAGTCAAACTTAAAAACATAATGTTTTCTAATTTGACCATTAACCAAGATATTAACTAGGGTTAAATTTAGATTTCTCCATGTCATGACTGGTTTTTCTTTTGTTTTTTTAAGAAAACAGTTTATGGCTATTCCAAATCTTTTTAATTCAATTTTAAATTTAAAATTGTACTAAAAAAAGGAGTTATTCCTAAAATTGAAACTTAGAATATCCAAAAAATATATAAAGTCCTATGAATGAGCATTTCTATATTCTAAATCTCACAAAATAATGTGTAAATAAATTTTTATTTTAAAACAATTCAGTCATGAGTACTTTACAAGAGTACACAAATAGATCAGTTTTCAAAGTAGAAAGCCGAGAAACAAACACTTCAAAACATAAGATTTTACTATTTCAAAATACAGCTTTTCAGTTGGAGAAAAGATTAGATCCCTACATCTCATTAGCACCAAAACAAATTCCAGATGAATGAAAGAGCTTAATGTAAGAGATACAACTACTAGAATGCAGCTACTGGAAATAGTAAACATTTGTTTGATTTTTAGTGTGACAAAGACATTTCTTAAGCATAAAAATTATACAGGGAAAAACACTTAAACATATGATGTTAAAAAAAGTTTTTGTCAAAAACCTGAACAAAAATGTAATGACGAATGGGAAAAATATTAGCAATATTTATGACAAAATTAATATTTTTACATATGAAGATCTTTTGCAAAGCAATTTAAAAATATAAACCTCCTAATGGAAATATGAGTCAAGAAAATAAAGGAATCCAAAAAGAAAAATTATAGAACACATTATAAATGTTTTAAACATTTTCATTTAAACATAAATATTTTAAATTTTATGTTTAAACATAAAATATCTCAAGATGTCACCAATTTAAAAGATGCAGACTAAAAGCAATGAAGTACTATGTTTGCCCATCAATTGACAACAATTTTATAAACTACTGGGTTGTCGGAAAAGTCATGACGTATTTTTTCTGTTTTTTGTTGCAATAATGCGTCATGACTTTTCCGACAACCCAATTTATCCAGTTTTGATGGTGGTGAGTAAAATGGAACGCTTACACA